GCACAGAATATGCCAATTACTGTGGATCTTGGAGGTGAATTCAAGATAGGAACTAGATTATTTATAGCTGGAAGATTAAAACTTCTTCCTCATTCGTAAGTTTTCAGTTTAATCGATATATGTATACTTAATATATATATATATATATATACAGGGTGTCCCAAAAATGTCTCGCAATCCGGAAATGGCGGGTTCCTCGGATCATTTGAAGCAACTTCTTCCTTTACAAAAATGTTCTCCGAGGCACCGTTAACGAGTTATTAACGAAAAACAGTGCGCCAATAAGAATCGAGTACGGCTGACGCGAGGCGGCCCAGCCAACCAGCGCGCGAAGCCCAGTTCTGCTCATTGGCTCGGTCGTCTCGCGCCAGCCGAGCTCGCCTCTCATTGGTCACTGTTTTTCGTTAATAACTCGTTAACGGTGCCTCGGAGAAAATTTTTGTAAAGGAAAAAGTAGCTTCGAATGACCCGAGGAACCCGCCACTTTCGGATTGCGAGACATTTTTGGGACACCCTGTATATTTAAATTAATTATTAATTAGTATATTTAAATTAGCAATAATAGTTATATGTTTTAAAAAATGATTAACATTCTTGGATTTTTATTTTACAGATTTTACGTAAATCTGCAAAAAGGAAAAATGATCTATCCTCATCCCACGATTGCTTTACATTTGAATCCGCGCTTTTTATACGGTAGCAACGTGCCTTACGTCGTAATGAACTGTTGGTCAAATGGATCTTGGGGACACGAAGAAAGACATCATGGACATTTATCATGGATGCCCGGTCGTAATTTCCTGCTAACGTCTGTTTCGTTAACTTCATACGAATCCGTCGAAAAATATGGTACTTTCAAAGATGTTGACCGTTCGTTTTGATTCAACAGGATTCGTTGCGAATGCGACGCATACTCAATATGGCTTGGCGACAAAATGATTGGTGAATTCAAACACAGATCCGAACCAAGTCTCATCGACACCCTCAAAATATCTGGAGACGTCGTGCTTCATGAATTAGCTATAACGCATATGGTTTAATTAAAGATTCTATGATTTGTTCTTAATTGTATGAAGCGAGTTTACTTTTTCTTTTACCTTATTTTGTAGCACAATTTGTATCATTGGAATTTCACATGAATAGCTTTGTATAATATATATCTGTATCGCAAAACATTTATATACAAATGTAATTAAAATATGTTATATTAAAATTTTCCGTATTGGACTTCTTTTGCATACTTTCGCTGAAATGACAATAAAGAAAATAGAGGTGCAATTCAATTGCGAAATTCTTCTGTACATATCTGAACCTCTTCGTGCGAAGCGATAATAAAGAAGAAAATAGAAATGTATTTATAGCGTACATTGTCTCAATCATTATATAGAGTGTCCCAAAATCATGTTACTTCCGGGAAGTGAGAGGTTCCCGAGATCGTTTGAAGTAACTTTTTCCTTAGCGCAAATGCAATCCGCGGCTTTGTTTACGAGATATTAATGAAAAACACTGACCAATGAGAGGCGAGTCAGCTGACGCAAGGTGGCTGTGCCAACGTGCAGCCGAACTTACCTCTCATTGGTCAGCGTTTTCCGTCACAGTAAAGCGAGACAACCTCATTGGTCGTCGGTGTGACTCGTTTTGCATGTGTCGTGCTGATGTCGTTCTTTCTTGCTTACTCGCCATTTCCTTTCTTTGTCATTGACTATGAGGGCAACACTGTTCAGCTGTGAATTGTCAACCAATCAGAGCACAGCAATTCGCTGCGTTCTCTCAATTCAAGAACCTCGTTGCCCCTGGATATGGTTCTTGAATTGAAAGATTACTGTACCTGGAAGGCCTGCTCGAATCATTCCGTTAAGTTGGCTGCACCTATATTTCGAATCATTTGTCGACCAATTAGTAGTTTGAAATTAATTTCAGTAAAACAGTGCATACGATAAATACAGATTGCCTGTTTGAAATACTGTTAAAAATACTATAACAAAAAATTCATTTGTAAATTTTTATATCAACAAAATATTTATTGAAATTGAGAATGACAGTAAATATTGTTGAACGGGTGCAGGTATTCCACTGTAAATAAGTGTTGTTTATTTTCGATAAAAATATGTATAAAACTTGCGACAATTATGAAGATGAATTTGAACCAAGAATTATTCCGAAACCAGCTTCTAAATTCGATGTGAGTGTTTCTAAAATAGTTCAATTTTTTTTTTTTTAGATATATTCAAACAAGTTCTAAAACAATGACTGTGAATTTTTTAAATTCCTAATATTTTTTTTTATGATTGGATTTTTAGTGTTTAACGTTACCATCAGTTCCCGAAGTTTCTTTAATATTCGATAAACCTGTAAGCTGTAAAACTGTGGATCAAAATGGTTTTTCTCCATCTTACGCAGAATCTAAAGATTTGAGGCGTCAAAATAATGTCTCATCTCCTTTATACGATAGTGGTTCTTATGCAGCATGGAAAGAGCAAAACTATTCAGGGAAGCCAGTACCATCTGTGCAGTTCAATTGTGCAACTTCTCCAAAGGTACAACATTGTCAGAATTATAAGACGAACTATTATCGCAAAGAAAGTGGCTTAGGAGAATCTCAAGAAAGTAGTAGCATTTCTAGAAGAGATTTTAGGAGTAGTCCGAGGTATAAAGAGAAAGAAATTTATAGAGAAAGCAATAACGTACATAAACGTAATCATAGAACGTGTGAAGATAATTTAGTACGAGTTCAACAAAAACATAATGATAGCAATATTAAAACAAAACACAAGGACTCTGTAACAAATGTGCCACATGTTATTAAGCCATATTTAAATAGTTGTGATATCAATGAGAAAGAACGTTCTCCATTGGTATATGAAGGAAAATTAGTAACTCATAATTTTGAACAACAGAAAGTATCACTTACTGATTCATGCAACGAAGCTGCCGTACAAAATTTTCCCATGAATTCAAATGGTTTAAAAAGAAATGAGTTTCCATTACCACATTATGTGGGACAACAATACCCTTACTTTAATGCAAATACATATCCCTTTCCGCAGCATCATCCTTGTTCTCCTCATAATATCGATAGTCAAGAAACAGTGAAAAATTTATTACAAATTATAAATAGTCAGAATGAGCAGATCAAGTCTCTGCAAACACAAGTTGATAGACTATTGAAAATGCAGGAAGAGAATTTAAAAGAAAGGAAGAATTGTTCTTGCTCCACTCAAATACAACAGCATGGTCAATTAATTAAGAATAATGAAACTATTAGTTGCAATAGAGTTCCACAAAATTCCAAGCAACAGCTATATCATTATGAGCCATCTAAAAGTAAAGAAACAGGTAATTGTAATGACACCGAAAATGTTAAGCAGACTGAATTGGTGTTAACGGAAACACAATCGAGACAAGCTTTTATGGAACAAAAAGTTTCTATTGGTGTAATGACTAGCTTTGAATTTACTGTACAAAACAGTCCTTTCACTGTGGACATCGAGGATTATGAAAAAAATGAGGGCCAACAAGAAAAAGGAAATTTAAAATTGTGCAGTAGCCTACACGACACTGGTATTGCTCATGAACCACTAAGAAGATATAAGAATTCTTTCAATCGAATACCTAGTGGGCAGTTAGAAAATATAGTTGAAGACTCTGAGAGTTATATGTCATCTAGTCAACAGCAAAGTAGTAATTTAAATGCAAGTATTTCTGTGAAAGATTTAGATAAACAGGCCTATGCAGATACTCGGAAAGAAATAGGTAATCATAGAATAGAATCTCCTAAGTTATGTAAAACTACAAGCACAAAAATAAATCAGACTGAAAATGCACGGAGACATTTCGAAAGAAATAATGAGGAAGAAACAAGGCATTATAAAACATTAAGAATACCAGAATTACAAAATAAGTTAGTAGAATACGATACATTAGAAAATGGCAATCATAAAACAAATGTTTTTTCCGGTACAAATCAATGTATCAAGTTGAATACACAAAGAGATAACGATTCTGTAAAGACGAACAACTCCTCAAATAATAAATCTGAATATTATAAGAATCATCGAAAAGAAGGTGAGATTGCTGCTAAACGTGGCAGTTGTATCGAAGACAGTCTCATCTTAAATGGTGGAGATTTAAGAATAAATGAAAGGCCGCCGACTCCAGAACCTAGCATACATGTTGAAATGCAGGAATATTCCAGCGATGATGATAGTGAAAGGATTAAACGTAGTTCCAAAGTAGGATGGACTTTTTACAATAATGTCCTAGGACAGGTGAATCAATTGTTGCAGAATTCCTGTGTAATAGATGATCAGCAACAAGATTCGAGAAAAGTGAATCAAAATGAACGAGACGAGACCGAAAATAGAGCATTAGATACCGTTAAAGTTGCTACGCTAGAACAACTAAAAAAACTTGGAATTAGTATAAGCGAAAATCCAGAACATAAAGATACGAATAACAGTAAAAAGTACGTTTTATACTCATAATATCTTATTAGTATGTAAAGATAAATTAATGTCGATTGTGTAAATTTATTCTACATGTAACACAATAATAATATTCATTTATCATTAAACAATGAAATTCAATTATATGATTAATTCTTCTATTACAAAAGTTTTCAATTGATATTTCTTTCGACGATCTCGTTAGTATTATGCACAATAACTTTGATAATTTGTTTGAAAGGATGACCTTTGATTCTTCATATTATCCACGTTTGGATTACCAAGCGAACATGACCCAGGCTACAAGCGCTGTAAATGAAACAAATACAAGCATGCATATGAAAGCGCTAGCTTTGAAATATTTAACTGATGATCAGCTTTCTGAATTAGCCATACAAAGACAAGGTTCAACAGCTGTAAAACATCTTATGGTTAGTAATGTGCAAGGCACGAACATGTCTTTTGCTACAATGCGTTATCTAGAAAGATATCAATTACTTCCTGGGAAGAATAATGTTCAAACAGAAGGTAAGAGGATGAATCATCATAATTTTTGTTTAAATGAGGAAACTAAATTAATCATTGTTTATACTTAATGTAAGACATTTTTTTGTAAATGGAATCTGATTTTCTTATTAACAGTTTCTTTTCTTTCAGCAGATATCGATAAAGTACATGTTGAGATACCTCCAAACATTGATGTGAAAGTTGCCAATACAAAAAATAGTCCAGCATTGCAAAGGTTTCCTTTTACTCAAACACCAAGAACGACTTGTCCTAGTAAGATTCTCGATATTTCAACTTTAAAGCAACAACCTAAACTTTTATAAAAATCGACGATGTCGACATACTTGAATTTAAATTTAATGTGCTTTATAATATTTAAACCCTTATTTGTTTTACTGCCAAATTTTGAATGTTTATTATACCGAAATACTGTTTTTTAATTTTTCTACTATTATTATATGACAACGTTAACAATGCACTCCTCCATATTTATTTATAAGCAACCAAAGGAGTAAGAACGAATATCTTTCAATTAGA